TCCAAGCTGAAGATCATCACCCATGTCTTATCATCACACTGTCCTTTCCCTGAAGTTACCAGGCTCTGTATTGAAATAATCAGATTTATGAAGTAGTCTGTTGAGAGAACTACTTCATAAATCCTCTCCTATGGAAGTTAGACAAGAGCTTGTAATCATCAGTCAAAAATTTATTCATAGCAAACTTATACCCATTTGATCTTGTACCAGTATAATCCTTTATTTTATGGAGTTCTTCCCTTTCTCTGATAATTATAAAGATCTCCTGTCAACAACCTCTGGTTTGTTCAGCTAACCAAGCCAAGCTCTTTTATTCTCCCTTCATGAGATAGGAACAAATGAAAGAGAAGGGCTATGAAGATAATTAAGGAAGCAAAGAACCCATTTGAATTCATTTTTTTAAACCCAAGCGATCACAATTTTCCTGCAGTTAATTACTGTTAATACATGCCAAGTTGGCCAAAACTTTTCAGTCTCACCGGCTTCCTGAAAAATGTTTTCCTTTCAGGATATCAGGCTTCTGGTCATACCTTTCAACACACCTTACCATTCTGAACTGGGGGTTTAAATCAGGATCTTTAATGCTGCCCAGCTTGACATTTTGTAGTTACTCCCCCAACTCCCCTTAGGTTATGTCTGAGAAATCTCTGAGAAGAGTCCAGGTATTGCATTCATTCTTTTTTGCAAAGTCTCTAGTTCTTGTTTTAATTTTTTTGTGAACTCTCCAGGTGTTTGAGATCTTGATTTACTTCCTGGTCATGTTTGCTTTCCTCTGAGCACCTCCACTATAGGGGAATATTACTCTTTAAAAACTGAATCCTGCTTCTGCACCAGCCCCACCCCCCAGTTATGTAATAGAGGTTTGCAGGTTTTTCCACTTAAGAAATCGGTGCGGGATCAGGTGCCTGTTGATAGAATCCTGTTAATTGAAAGGGATGCCCTTTTTCCTTAAACACTGGAGGAATCGAACCAAACCAAACCTTCTTTCAGCAGGAACTCAGCCCCCAAGTCTTCATCTCCAGGTTTTCTTCTCAGGGTCACTTTTGCAGTGTTTCCCTGGTACTCCTCTGAGCTTCTCTCAGCAACCTTGCTCTTTTCTGCAGTTATGCAGACCTTCCTAAAGCAGCAGTCAGCGTAAATGTCTTCACTCACATATCCTTGGGTCCATGCCATTTTTTGGGGCCTTGACACAGATGTTGTTAAATTAAGTTCCTTTGCGAGTCTCCTATTATGATCATCGATGAAGAACAGCAATCCCACCTTCCAGTTTTAGTGGGATTTAATGTTATCCACAACATGTTTATTATTATGTTGGTAATAATGTATATTATGGATTGGTGAACTAAGGTTTTGGAATTAATTTCTGAACACACCAGCAGAGATGCTGGTTTTTGCCTGTTATGCAGACTAAGTCTGCCCGATTTGGTTCCTTCTGACATTCAGAATTTGACCACCCTCAAATTCAGGTGCAGTTTCACAGCTGTCCCATCCCTCAAACATTTTTATTAATAAATAACCAACTCAAGTCCTAAACACTCTGGAACGGTCTTGTCTTGTTTTCACCATGTTACAGGAATGATGCCAAGAACAAAAATCAGAGGCATCCCATGCTGTCACTGACCCCCGGACAGGTCTGCTCTAGAAACACTTTACTAATCATATAATCTGTCAGCTATGCTGGCAAAGCGCTCCTTGCCCAGATGCAGCTTTGCTGGCAATGCTGTGCTTTGTACTGTCCTGGTGAAACCTACCCTTCACCAGCAAGACAGACGGTACCTGTAAGGGAGTAGTTTTGCTCGCTCACTGCTTCTGCATTAGGGGATTCTGCCACCACAGCTGCACAGGATCAAGCCAGCGTGTCTGCCCCATAGACACCAGATGTGCATTTGGAGCTGGTCTCCTTTCCCACTTCTGTGCAGAGCTGTGTAAGCAGGGCTCCTAGGTGCTTCGGAAATAATAGCAACAGCTAGGAGAAGGGCAGAGAGTTATCGCCCAGACACGGGGAAGAGGCGAGTAAAGAGGAAGACTAGCTCGAGAGATCCGAGAGAGGTAGCCAGGTGGATTTAGAAGAATACTGGTAAGAGGGAGAACCAGGCAAGGGGGATGGCTAGACAGGCAGGGCTGGGGCTGCTTGGAGAAGCGGAAGGAGGGCGCGATGGTCTGCCCGGTGGGCTGCAGCGCCGGCGGGGACCCCCCCTCAGCTCCCGCCTCAGCCCCCGGCCATCTCCACGCGACGTCGCAGCGTGGGCGTCTTCTCGTTCCTTCATGTGTGTAGAGCGCACAATTGGCCAATGGGCAGGGAGCGCTGGCTTGTGATTTGCATGAGACCGCGCTGGCGGCCAATGGGCTGGCGGCGCTGGGGCCTGTTTGGACCGCGATGTTTCCAGCCGTGCTGGGCGCCGGGCGCCGCGCGCGGGTGACAGCGGGCGGCCGGGCTGGCAG